GCTAACCTCTGCTCGGCCCTCACGACCAATCGTCCATCTCACGGGGGGGGGTTGGGGTGTAATCCTGAGTTCGGATCTCGGCTCACGGCACACGCTCGGCCGTCATCCCTCCGGTAAAAGAGCGCCACTTCAGGAGGTCAACGGAGGTGTCATCCGGTGGAGAGGCTGGCACCTCGCCGGAGTAGGGTAAAATGGGCCATCATCACTGGCTCCGCTTCGGGGTACAATGATTAAAAAAAAAGAGAGAAGACCGCTCGGCTCTTGTTTGAACACGGAGACGCACGATTGACTCGTCGGATATTTGCATTTCGAGATTTGTGCAATGCAAAAAAAATTCTCCAAACAGCCGTCAAATTATTGTACACCAATTAATGGGGTTGCACAGCCCTCAAATCCAAGTCTCCAGCACCCTTCTCTTCGCAAAATTAAAGATGTCAAAACTAGGCATTACTACTCACGAAATGCCTGACCAGTGGTGGAAAACGAAAATGTACAAGTGCCAGTACAATACCTATTCATCCTGCAGCCCACGCTCACTGCACTCAAGGACAAAGATCCCTCGCGTGCATCCTACACAGGGCTGTTGCGGCAAGTGCCGTTAGCGACTACCGATGAAGGCCGGCACGGCACGCTGGTGGGTGGGTGGCCCTCACCACGCACTGCTCCCCAAGTGCTGATGTTTTGAGACCCCGCACAAGGTACTTAATTAAGGTCGAGTCGACCTAGGGGAGGCCCAGGACCAGTTCAGCTAATTGACACTGCTGTGAGACGTGAGCGGGAAATCAAAGTCGGGTCGCGGGGTTCGTAGCGCAGCGCACAAACCACCGCGCCACCGCTCCCCACATCACTGCCACACACACACACACAGCCTCAAGCTCCCTCGCACACGCTCACTGCCGTTTCCCTCTCCGTGAAACCACCGCAGTGTAGGCATAGGAACCGCTCGGCACTGTGCTGGAGTATGTGTGTTCAGTGTTCAGAGTCGTGTGGCGTAGCATCATTGTAGATCAACACAATTCAATCGCTGTCATTCAACAAACCACACGGAATGTGCCCGATCCCATCAGATCTCAGAAGCTAAGCAGAGATGAGCCCGTACCGACGCTTGGATGGGCGACCACCGAGCAAAAGACCACGGCGGGAAGCATACGGCAGTGCAGCAAACTCCACTGTTGGACTGTCGTATGAAGATCAAATGTCCAAGCTCACCGACGCGAAATGTGGACAAACAAAAATGCCTACCCCATAATGGCTATATAACCAAACGCAACTATCCACGTGCATCGCCATGCATCCATCAAAACCGTCCGTCCGCACCTGCCTGGGCACATCCTTTAACGGAGAACACCACGGCTCGCCGCACACACACGGCACTTGATCCAACTCCCGGGAACAAGGGCCTTCTCTCTCTCGCGCGGCGCAAACCGAGCGCCGCGGTAAGTGCTGCCTCTTCTGCAGCTCGTATTATTGCTATAATGGGCAACAATATCTTGGGAGCCGCAGTTTAAAATCCATTTGTTTCACTAAGTCACGCCGGAGAGGAACAACAAAGGGAACCGATCAATACGCCTATGCCCGCTGACTTGCCACAAAGGCACATGCAGGGCAAGGCGCACAGCTGCGAGCACGCAAGTCGATAAAGCGGGCTGCGGCCCGAAAAGCCGACGACACCACGCCTGAGAAAAGGCAACGGGCTTTCGTCACCGGACCACACGCGCCACGAGGGTGGAAAGGGGTTCATGAACCCGGCAAGCCAAGAGTCGACACATCGGCCACGCCCGACATCGGCGGAGGGCTCTGCCGTGGCGGTTTTCCTTACGGGGGGCTGGGGCGATCGCTCTCGTAGAAACTGGACGTTCGGACGCTGATAGGCCTCCAAAAGGCGAACGTGATGTCACGCACCTGCCCAGCCAATGGAAGCGGCGTGTGGGCGTCCGCAAACGAGAGTTCGCGGGAAGGTAAGGCAGGGCGCCTCCAATTGGCTGGATGCGGCTTCGAGCTGACAAGGTAGTTCGAGAGAAAAGGACTCTGGGGTGCGCTCTTGCCTACTGAACACACCCCAGCGGCGAGTGACATCTGAAACGCAACCTGGGCCTCCTCTCGTTCACCAACTTGGTACCGACCGGTGTGGTGGCAGTAGGGTCAAATAACCCCCCATGGACCTACATAGCCTGAAGAGGCCTACATCAGGCAGTGGGTCGATAAAGGGCTGTACGTGTGTTCACCCGCAGTGCCACGCCAACCTCGCTGTGAAAATCCAAGTGTCTCTGTGCCCAAAAAAATCAAAGGAGAGTGCTTTGCTCTGTTGGTGGCACTGGCCAACTGGTGAGGTTTCCCACGTTCCCACATCGGTGGCCGGTCTCTCCGCAGGGCGACCACTGCCGCCGCTGGCTTCACAGAAGGTGCACCGTTCGCTTTATTAAAACACTTGGATGACTGATCGAGCCGAACCCCGACCGGGATTTGTACTCACAACTCCGATTGCTCGGCGAGCATCCTGCCGCAGGGCCTCCGGGCGGGTCATTACCGTAAATTATGGGTGCGCGATTGGCAGTCTAGGGAATCATCTCCATATCCATTCGTGCCAATGTGTTAGATTAAATATTTGCATGACGAATGTCCCGAATGCACATCCTGTCAGCAAAGCTGGCTTTGTTCCTCAGGCGGCGTTGCTGGATCGTTGGAAATTAAGCCGCTGTGACATCACGATCGGGGGGTTTTTGACGATCTTTGATGGCGCGGGAATGCCTGGGCCACGCCGAGCTTGCACGCGTGCCCTAAGAAAAGCGTCGTCCATTCCAGTTTCCCACTCGGGATGTTCGCCCCAATTCATAAAACCAAGACTGTGCCTTAGTAAAGTCAAAAGTTCAATACGGATGCTCCCCGGCGTGTCTGGGCGTTGCCACTTTTCAACGCACTCTTGACCAGTAGTAAAGATGATGATGACGATGATTCAACCTGGTGTTGAATGATCCGACATCAAGAGCTATGTTCTCTGGAACGCCGTGAGCTGCCGTTCAGGTTTGTTCCATTCTTGGTCGCCTTTTGGCGTCATCTGGTCCAACCCATGTGAGACTAGGCTCTAAGGAAAGCTGTCTCAGGTGTGGACCAATCAACCTTCAAGGACAGTGCCTATATTATCAGAGTTATGTTTTTGTTTGCATCTATGGCTGCAGGTATTGTGGTCTATGCAAATATGACTCCTTGTAAAAAAGGTGTCAGTTTTGTTGCCAGATAGAAGGGTAAAAAAAACAATTATCAAGGCTTCCCCTGTTCACTTCAGAGCGTCAAACACTGAAGCTGCGTTTAGTAAAACCTCGCAAAGCCAGACTCGGGTAAGCCACGATTTGGGGTAGGCCTGAAAGGCCATTAAAAAAAAGACAATAAATATATCAACTACAACATAGAAATCTCTGCCAGTGGCGTAGCGATATCGAAACCGGTTTTGAACGCTTCCCATCCTCAAACTTCACCGACCCGCACGGACCGGTGACCAGTGGTCAGCGCGGGTGGTAGCGCGCTACTGCCGCGGCCAAATCAACCTCGATGACCAGTAACAGTACAGGGAGGGGCGCCTTCATCCAGCAGTGGACTTAAATAAGACAAACAAGCCGTGATTATTAATTTTATAATCGCGCAGCATTGGCTTCCACGGTTCATGCAGCGCCTGTTTTTTTGTGCATCACGGGTGGCCGAAAGAGAGAGAGGGCCTGTATTTCGTCGTAATTTGATTTGTGAACGCTGTTAAGATCCACAACATCTTCATGTTGACCCGTGCCTTGATGGCTTTCCTTGGGTCATCCAGCAAATGCCGCTTGGCAGCGGGACGCTTATTGAACCGGCTGACTCATTTGATCCGACGCAACTTATACTTCTTCAATAATCCCCTTGACCTCGGGCACATATTCACTTTTAAGATGTTTTCTTGTTTCATGTTTTTGTTTTTTTTTGTTGCGGTTGCACCCGATTCAAGAGCCGAATAGCTCACAGGGCTGTACCTAATAAATGAACTTGAACGTCAGGTTGTTGTCGTTTCCTTGTCTGTGTCCTCGGGAAGGGAAAAGAAAGACAAAATGACTCTCGACTTTTTCAAAGAGAGGTCGCCGCACACGTGCAGAGCAGACCTGCAGCAACCGCCGCTGTTGGCGACCGACCGGACAGTCGTAAAGTAACGAGAAAATCTCGACCGATCACTGGGGCAGATTTCATCTCAATCGAGGGCCCGGACAGAGGCGGCAGGAAAAAGTCCACATTCCCGCGGCGAGAGGCGAGTCCCTCCACAAGATGACCGCACTGGACCACGCCCCAAAAGCAGTGTCCGTATTCAATTTGAATGACTCCGTAAGGATGCATGTTTGATTTTTATTATTTCCCTTCTACGTGACTTTACCGAAAGAACCAAGAAGATGAATCCCTGCAGTCA